GCACCTCGCAGGCCAGATCTCGCCCGCTCGGAACAGGACCGCCCAGGCCGCCCCAAATCCAGCCTCCCGGGCCCCCAGCAGCGCCCTCCCCTTCTCCATCCCGCATTTTGGGGCCAAATCAAGAGTGAAGAGGGCTCTACATCTGAAACTGCGCGGTTTCGCCACTCAGCGCCTACTGGCAGAAACTTCCCTTTTAGAAAAAAAAAAGAAACACTTTTAGGCTAACATTTCAATCCCTCCTGCCCTTTAGAGTTCCTAGTTCTGCTTCCAGCTGGGGTTTTGGGTCTCCCAATAGAATTGAGTTATAAGATATTCTTTAAGCGTTTAAGGGCTATTTTACAAGTTTTTTAAATCTTTAAAATTAAAGGGGGAGATTAAAAAAAAAAAAACCAATCACACATCTAGGAAACGCAGCCTGGTGCACCGCCTGCTCAGAGATGGGCATGAGACAGGGACTCTGGGGGACGGATTTGGGGGCGCCCGGGGGGGTCGATGGGGTGCGCGTCGAGGTCCGCAGCCAGGCCAAGCCCCTCCCCCGGCCCTGGAGACGCGCCCTCCGCCCGGCCCGTGTGGACGGTCCCGGCCATTGTTTGCGGGGGACGCCTGTTAGGACGCATTGTTTTGGCTGTTTCCAACTTGCCCCGGCCCCTCCCGGGCCATCGCGGGGGACCCCACGCCGGCCCCCGCCCCTCACCACCGAGTCGGCCAACCGGTAGACCTGCCCCGCGAAGCCACCCAACTTTTCAAGAACAGCCCCCCACGCACCCACGCTCGCAACCGCCGGGCTCCCTCCGGCCAGCCCCTGGCTCCAGACCCGGAGAAGGGGGGACACCCCCGCCCCCAAGCCATCGCGACTATTTTTAAGAGTGAGTGTGATGGTAAAACACTGTCTGTATACACCGGGGGCTCGCCCGACACCTTCTCGCCGGGTGGGGAGGGGGCGCCCTAGAGGAGCGGAATAGAGAGTAGGAATAGGGGGGGCGGGCGGGGCGATCATCCGCGGAGGGAGGCGAGGTAACGAGCACGGGAGACTGGAGTCGGGCTCGGGGGTACGCCGGAGGGGCGACGCGGGGCGCCCCCTGGGGCCCTGCGCGGGCGGGGGGCGCGCCCCCTTTACCTGCGGCTCCGGCTCCTCGGCCATTTCCTCGCTCGGCGGCGGCCGGGACTGAACTGACACCACACGAGCGAGCCGAGGTTTGAATGAGGAGGGAGCGGGCGAGGAGGGGAGGGGGCGGGGAAGGCAGGAGGGAGGGGAGGCGACGGGGAGTTGCTCTCGGCCTTTTGTGCGGACACCTCCCGGTTTCCGCGCCCGCACCGGCCCCCCGAAAGAGACGGGGGCCACTGGGCGAGGGGCGAAGCCATCCCCCACGGCGCCTCAGAGCCTCGCGCTTTGAAGACCCCCCCCAAAAGGAGTGCCCCCACCCCCACCCCGAGGATTTGGGGGCCGGGCTCACCTCGGGCGCGGGGCTAAGGTGAGCGGGGTGGGGGTGCGCACGGGGGGCAAAGGCGCGGGCGCCCCCTACTCGTCCGCGCGGGGACAGTGCAGGCGCGGGGGGTCCCTAGAGCCGCCGGGGCGCGGCGCGTCCGGCGCACGGGGACTGTTGGGTCAGAAAGTGCTCAGGGAGCAGCTGTTGCGCCCTCCCTCGGCCCCGCAGCTCGGAAACGCCCCGCCTCCTGCCTTCACCGGCCGCGCGGCCCCGCCCCGAGGGCCCGCCCCACGCCCACGTGATCCGCGCAGGCGCGCCCCTGCCCCTCCCACCGCCGCGGACTCCGCCTCCGGGACGCGAGCGAGCAGACGAGCGCGCGCACTCCCTGCTCTCGCCCGGGAGATTCCCGCGCACGCGCGCATCTTTCACCGCCCCCACATCCCCCGCCTCCCGCCGTTCGGCTTAACGTGGCCCGCGCGCGCCCGGCGGTTCCAGTGACAGGTACGCGGGGAGGGGGCCACGGGGGCAGCGCGCAGGCGCAAATCCAGGCCTCGGCCTCGCCGCCTCCCCCTCCCTTGCAAGGTGTGCCCAGGCGAGGGGAGGGGCTGGTATCCCGAACTCCTGGGTCATCCAGAATTGCCACCAAACAAAAAGCCTTTACAACACCCATTTGGGTAGGTTCAAAGGCAGCTGTGCACAAACAACAATTTTTGCAGATTTTCGTCAAGTGTGAGGAAAGTCGATGAGATAAGTTGATTAAAATGTTTTAATTAGTACCTTCGTAAAGCTATCCTTTAATTGTTATTTTTCTGAAAAGGCTGGACTTGCGCTATTATAACTTGAGATTTCTAAACTTGGCCTGGGTTCCAAGAACCACTTGGGTTGGATAGAAATCCACGTGGATGAAACCGGGCTTAAACCGGGGACCACAAAAAAGGGAAAAAAAAAAAAAAGAAACCTAGCCATTTCCTCTCCTCCCCACGCTCAGCCCATTTAAAGCGTGTCCCTACTGTTCTTGTCCTTGCACGCGCGCGCGCGCACACACACACACACACACACACACACACACACACACACACAAAGTTATAATTCCGAGGAATCTGATTTCCCCCATTTTAAGTAAGCTCCAGGGAGGAACCACAAAAGCAACAATCACATCCACTAAGTTTTCTGCCCCAAGATGCAAACGAATGCAAATGTAAACCGACCTATGCACGTGACCACAAAATAATGCAGTTTGTTTTTTTGTTTTTTTGGCCTTGGTGTACCCAAAATGTAAACACCTAAAACATATCAAGAAAGGCATTTAAAGTATATACTTAATAAATTAGGACCAAAAAAAAAAAAACACTAAATAAATGCTAGGCGGGTAAGCGATGCAATCCTTAATAAATAGGAAATGGAATTTTGAGACACGGCTTCTTAGCAAAGGGGAGAAATTTGCCAAGTGTGATGTTTTGCTGTCATTTTATATATAACTACTAACCCCACATATGGTCTGGTTAGTCTTTTTTTTTTTAAAGGAAGTGAACCAATTACTTACTCACAAATAATTAGCAGTGCCAGAAGTAGATTCTTAGGCCAGAACTCTCTTTTTTCACTCAAGTAAACTGATAACTGATTACTTCTAGTACCAGGGTTCCTTTTCTCCCAGAAGATGAATACCTTTCTTTTAAAATATTTTTTAGAGCCTTGTAAATGGTGACATCCAAAAACACAGTCCAAAGGCATACTCGTCATAAACAAGCTTCATTGAACTTATCAAAACAAATGACTTCCAGCATTGCTCCGAAACAAAGAAGCCATGAACTAGTGGAACCAGGTTGAGTCTTAACATAAGTTGTCGCCTCACTCTACATGTTAATGGATAACCTTTGAACTCTGAAACCCTGAATGCTGTAAACACAATAGCACTGATAGTTACAAATCCTGCTATCAAAATGGTGCAAAAAGAAAAGTCTAAACTTTTCTTCAGCAGGAATAGGGAAACAATCAAAAGTTTTGACAAATAATCGTTTCACTTAGAACAATGAAACTCCTGGCTCTCAGACCTTGTTGCTACTGAATTATTTTCTGAGCAAAAACGGCTGTGCTTTTTTCTCTCTGTCCTCACAAAGCTACCACTTTGTTAGCATAATAGCATCATATGGTTTGTTAGCTACTGTTTCTTTCCTCCCCACCCCACCCCAAAAAAACCTTATTATGTTTTAGCTTTTAAAATCGAAAGATAATTGTATTAACTGATCTATCTGCTAAGAGTTTTATATGTGATCCTTATGTTTGAGCAAAGAATTACAAAGAGCCTTATTCCTGGAAGCATGCCAACAAAACTGGGAAATCGTTGCAAAATTCTGCTAGTGACTGAGTGCTGGGTTGCAAACACATACTGTGTTTTTAAATGGACATAGAGTGATCTGAATTAGCTGTAAGGGCGTCTGAGACTCTTCCCTTTAGAATGTAGAGACTCCTACTTAAGATGTATTGGAAAGCACGAATAGTTAAAACAATTAAAACTGGAAACTCCAAAAGTAACAGGAGAACACTGGAACATTTGGTTGTGTAATAAAAGCTAATAATTCCTATTCTTATTGTATGAGATTAAAATTGTAAATCGAACATTGGTCTGCATATACTTAGCTCCACCCACGAGTAATCCTGTTTTGCCATCAACCGCCCCCCCCCCCCCCAGCTAGACTAATTCTAAAGGAGTCAGGTGCTGCAAACAGGCAGGCAACACAAACAAAGAATGGAACCAGAAATGTCCCTTCAGATGTGAGCTGATGCTCTGCACATGTTACTCGGGAAAGGAAAAAAAAAAAAAAAAACCCACTTCACCTCTTTTTAATGCGACAAACATCAGCTACACCTCATTTTTCACAATTATCCAAACAGACCAGCCAGCCCTCCTTAAGAGATGTTTCCCAGTGTACGCTTAAAAAAAATCGCACCATTATCTCTGATTTAATCCTAGTGATCTGAGACCTCTTCTTTTAGCTAACTTCTGGTTTTCTCTCCAGATTCCTGCCTGCCACAGCCATCTCAGATCTAATAACAAAACAACAAACACTATCCTTCTAACTTGCTCTATGTACCATTTATTGGAATCTTCTTTTGAGACTTAGCCTTCATTAGAAGAACAGAATGCGGTGTGATCTTCTTTCGCAAGTATTTATTTTACTGTGAAACTATTACAGAAAAACGATTTGGAAACTGTGGAAACCCTGGAGTCGAAATGGAGCCAACATAGATACTTGACTTAAAAAGAATTCAGTGTTCAGAGCAGGAAAACCTGAAAAACTGCAGTGAGGAGTTAGCAGGAAAAGAGAATGGAAAAGTTAGCCAAACCTGCCAGCTTCTGCAAACTACAAAGGACATTTGAGAAGGAAACCGGGGCAGCCCTTTTCACATGACTCAATGCACTCAGTGAAGGAGGGATCACCAGCAGCTTGCAGGAAAACACCACACTTCTCTCTTTTCTATTAAGTTTCTTGATTTCACTCAAGTCACCTCAAAATGTTAAACCCTCTTATAAAACATCATAATAAGAGATGATAAAAAAATGGCAGAAATTACCTTTCAGAAGTGGAGGCAGGGTCCGGAACCTGGGGAACTCTGAGTTTGCCAGTCCACCTGGCTGGGAACAATACTGAAAGAGATGTGATTGCTGGATTTTATAAGCAAACCCAAAAAGGGAGGGGCCAAGAATAAGGTTCAATTTAAATAGAAGTTTAGATACAATCCCGACCTGATTAAATTAACTTGATTACATTCAGGCGACATTGTTTATTTTAACGGTATTCGTCCTGTCCCACTGGCAAGTTTGATCAGTGCCCTCCCCCTCTGCAAGCACAACTTTTGTCTTCCTCTGATATTCTGAATGGTTTTCCAAGGTTGACGTAACTCAAAATGTAAGTGTAAACTTTCTTTAAAAAGGACATATGTCACATAACTTTCAGAGCACCTCTTTATAAAGTTTTTTGCACTCATCTGATATTCCAAATGGGGAATTTGGGGTAAGAGGAGATAGAGTTAGAGGAAGGTTACATTTATTGAAATCCGACTCCTATCCTCATCTCAATAAATAGAACCATCTACAACTCAACACCAAAAAAACAATCCAATTAAAAAATGGGCAAAGGACCTAAATAGATATTTCTCCAAGGAGGACATACAGATGGCCTATGGACATATGAAAAGATGGTCAACAGCATTAATCATTAGAGAAATGCTAATTCAAACCACAATGAGATACCACCTCACACCTGTCAGAATTGCTATCATCAGTAAATCAAAACACAAGTGTTGGCGCGGATGTGGAGAAAAGGGAACCCTGTTGGTGGAACTGCAAATTGGTACAGCCACTATGGAAACGGTTTGGAGACTCCTCAAAAAATTTAAAATAGAACTACCTTATGACCCAGCAATTACTTCTGGGTATTTAGCCAAAGAAATCCAAAACACTAATTCAAAAAGATATATGCACCCCTATGTTCACTGCAGCATTATTTACAATAGCCAAATAATAGACAATATGGAAGCAATGGATAATCAATAGCCAACTGGATGAAGATGTGGTACATATATACAATGGAATAATTCCCAGCCATAAAAAAAAGTTTTTTTAATGAAGTCTTACCATTTGTGACAATGTGGATGAACCTAGAGGGTATTATGCTAAGTGAAATAAATCAGTCAGAGAAAGACAAATACCATATGATCTCACTTATATGTGGAGTCTAAAGAATAAATAAAAAATAAATAAAATAAATTGAACCATTTTCCATCCACCCACTTACTCAAGCCAAAAAAATCTAGACGCCAAACTGTATTTCATCTCCATTCCCCACAAACACACGTTTAATCCATCAGCAAACCCTATAATTTCTATCTTAATATATCTCAACTTTGTCCACTTCATCTTTAACACAAGCCTTACTCCACAGCACCACAAACTCTCACTGTCTCCTCCAAATATTTGTGTAAGTGAGGTCTCTCCAAGCTTTTACTTCTAGGTTTGCCTTAATACAGTCTCCGCCCATTGAAGCCCAAGAGGTCTTTTACAGTGTAAATCAGATCTTGTCACCGCCCTGCTAATGGCTTCCGATCGCCTCAGGAAAAAAGAACAAACTCCACAGCTTGGCCTCGCCAGCCGTGTACCTCTGGCCCCTGCCTAACTCCCCAGCCTCAAGTCTTGACCAACCCTTCCTTCTCTTAGGGTTCTGAGCTTCAGCCATTAGACCTCTCTGACTCAGAGCCTTCAGACTTAGGGTTCCCTTTGCCTAGTGCTCCCTTCCCATTCTTTCAGGAACTCAGCTTCTGTTTTTCCTGAAAGTGGTTTAAACCCAGTGTTCTGGGGGTGGGGTGGGGGCGGAGGGGATACCCTACAGGGTTGGGGGTGCCCTCTGCCAAGGTGTCAGAATGTCTTCCTTACAATCACTTAGGCTCAAATACTCTGGTTCCACCTCCCGAAAGCTGTGTTAATTCTAGAATATTATTTAATCTCTCTAGGTTTGTTTCCTCGTCCACAAAAATGAGGTGGTGATGATGAAAAAGAGGAGGAAAAAGAATAACTACTTAAAAGTTCTCATCATACAGAAAAAAACTGTAACTGTGACATGATGAGTGTTAAATAAACATTGTGATCATTATGCAATATATACATATATCAAATTATGTTGCACACCTTAAACTGATACAGTGTCATATGTCAATGATATCTCAAAACTGGAAACGGAAATATATATGATTATGTAAATAATGAATATTTGTTTTTATACAAGACTCTTTGGAGAATTAAATGAGGCACTCTGTAAAGTTGTAATCCCAGAATCGGGGAGCTGGCGGGGGGAGGGAGTTCTAGACACAGGCAATAGAGCTTACAGTAAGCAAAACAAATGAAGTCCTTGCCTTCTTTGGAACCTATCTTCTAGAGGGAGACCGACAACACACAGATAGTTATATTTGCAATATAAGGTCATTGGGGAGGGGAAAATGCTTGCTGTTTTAGATGGGAGATCCCTGAGGAGAAGCCACCTCCAGGAAGTCAGGGAGCAGGCATCAGGGAGCAGGTTGGAGAGCCAGGAAGGTGGGCGGGCTCAGGGCGGAAGGGAGGCTGGCTTGGAGATGGATCGACAAGTACAAGGAGGCCAGTGCCCCTGGTGCCCAGCAGGTGAAGACAGGAACTCAGGGAAATCAGGCCAGACCTTGGAAAGACAGTGCAAGAACTGGTGGTTGACTCTAGTTGCAGTAGGATGTCAGATGGTCAATTCTCTGTCCCCATTTTATTTATCACATCAACAGCACTTGATAGACTCAATCCCTTTCTCCTCCTTTTCCCTTGATTTGGGGACTAATTTCCCTTAGTCCCCACCCGCTGCTCCTCTTGGTCCTCTTAGTTGATTCTCCTCTCCCTGATTCCCAGACTTTAAAAAGTGCCCCAGGGCCCAATGCTGGCACCTTCTGTTTCTTATTTGTTCCCTAGATGATTTCATCCAATTCAGTGGCTCAAAATACCATCTGTAAGGCTCCTAAATTTATATATTTCTCACCCAGACCTTTTCCCTCAACTCCCAAAACATACGACTATTTCCAGCTGTCTACTCCCTCTCCATTTAGGTATCCAGTAATGAATTCTAGATTTCACCCTGACCTTCTGTAATTCTTCACCACTAATGGATATGTAGTATCACGGAATTGTACAAGACGGCAGGAAGCGAATGTTGATTGAGAACAAAGAGTGGGTGGAGAGATGGGTGAGCCACTGATATGAGATCATGCACCCCTGCCAGGTACCCCCAGAGCTCAAACCCATGCAGTTATACTCACTACACATCATACTGTAGTAATTATTTGCTCCTCCTGTCCTCCTCCGATTAGACTCTCAACTCCATAAAAATAGATGACACTGTCTTTTCTCTGCAGTATCGCCAAGTCTTAGCATGATGTCTACCTATAGCAGTGATCTATAAATGTGCTCAAAACAAATGAATATAGAAATGAATAATAATACATAGAACTCAGCCGCAATGAGTTCCAGTGAGAAGGGAATTGAAATGTGGGTCTTCAGGCCAGTCACTGGGGCCTTGGCTCCGGTTCCTCGTGTGTAAAACGGGGATTATAACCTCTACTAGGCTGCCTCGGCTGGTTGGGTTGCCCCATGTTGTACCACCGTGGAAGCTCTGTGTTGTACACCAGCAAAGCGTTGTTTTTATGACAACTCTTTTCTTTTTTGAATTTTATTGGGGAACAGCCATGGTCATTGGTTACACATTGCTTTCATGCTACACAGGCATAGCTGACTCTTTTAGGGAGGGCGCTGCTCCCAGTGGCCCATGTGGGGATCGAACTGGCAACCTTGGTGTTATCAGCACCACGCTCTAACCAACTGAGCTAACTGGTCACCCCTTATGATGACTCTTGTTGGGAATACAGTTGACCCATGAACAACACGGTTTTGCGTGGCACATGGCTATCTATATAGGGATTTTTTTTCAAATACATACAGTACTGTAAATCTATTTTATGATTTTCTTAACATTTTTCTCTTTGTTGTAAGCATACAGTTTATAATATGTATAACATACAAAATAGGTGTTAATCAACTGTATGCGTGATCAGTAAGGCTTCCTGTAAATAGAAGGCAATTACATAGTTAAGTATTGTGAGAGTCAAAAGTTATACACAGATTTTCGACTGCACAGGAGTGGGGGACCCAAGCTCTGGGTTGTTCAAGGGTCACCTGTATACTGAGTATCAATTCCACCAAGGGCTCCGTGTAGGACTCATTTTGAATATACTTGGAACGCTCGTCTCAGCTCCCCTGATAACAGTTACATTAAACCTGAAACCTCGGAGAGTCCACGCTTGCTAGGAAGAACTTTCAGAGTCTCTAACCTCCCTTTTCTGTTTCCTTCCGGCTCTCCCTTTTGGATGACATAAATGGCCTAGTAAGTTGTCTGTATAGTTGGTTGGTTGGAAATTTTATTTTCTGGTCTGAATCAGGCTGTTAGTTCCATCAAGAGTGGGAACGTGTCCAAACTCACACCCAAGGTCTGCCTTGGGAAGGGTTTGGATGGATGGTAGCACTGATATTTCAAAAAAATTCTATACTGGGGGCACTGGTTAGCTCAGGCAGTTAGAGCGCAGTGCTCATAACAGCAAGGTTGCTGGTTTGATCCCTGCATGGGCCACTGAGCTGCACCCTCCACAACCAGATTGAGACAACTACTCAACTTGGAGCTGATGAGTCCTGGAAAAACACACTGTTCCCCAATAAAAATATATAAATAAAAAATAAAATAAAAATTAAAGGGGAAAACATTTCTAAAAAAAAAATTCTATACCAAAAGTAGGGCCAGCAAGCTGAGAGGCTAGCTGATAAGCTCTAACATGCACTGCGTTCTCAGTGTATGCTTTCTACTCTGCAACTCATTGAATCCTAAGGACCCTGTGAGGGAGGGTCTATATTCCATTTTTACAGGGATTAAGTGACTTTGCCAAGACTCACTGGTAATAAACAGCTGAGCTAGGAGACTAAATCCAGCCTCTAGGGCCTTTCACATTCTCCACAGGTATACGGCCTCCCTCAGAGCCATTCCTCTGTCTAGGTCTCCAACCTCAGTTCCTGTCTCCCCTTTTCCCACTCCCTCACTACCCTTCAACACAGTGGCCTCCTTTCCCGTGCAGACACTGGCCAAGCCTCACCCCCACACCTCATGGTGTATCCCCAGGGCCTGGAACCATGCCTAGCACGTAGTAGGTGCTCATTCACACTGGATGAAAAATGAGTAAATGGCCACTATGTGCCAAGCACTTTACATCCATTATCTCTTTACATCCTCCTAGTAACACAACCAAATGGCTACTTTTAGTCTTGTTTTAAATGCAAAGAGGTTAAGTATGCATTCAAACAATAGCATGCACACCTACTATGTTGTACACCAACATTTTTTCCTGCATGCCAGGGATATAACTGTAAGCAACGTGAATTCCATGCTTACAGCTCTACCACTCCAACAGAAATGCAGACAATCATATATCTGTCACATTGATCTTTTCAAAAGTCATACCTGATTACATCATGGTTCTGCCTAAAACTCCCAGTGTCTCTTAGGATAAAAAACAGAATTTCTGATAACATGGCTGCCAGGATCTGGTGGACCCGGCAAAGACCCTGTGAAGGGTTTTACTCCAAGAACACTGGGAAACCACTGACAGGAAATGGAAGTAAAACCAAAAGAACTATTGAACTTCAAGATTATCTCCTCAACAGTCTCATCCCAGCTGAACAAAGAAGACATGGCAGGCTTGAAGAAGCTGCCGATGTAATCTTATCAGTCTTCACCCCGTTAGTTGGTTGTTACTGCCTTTACTTTAAAAAGAAGAAACTGAGGCTCAGGTTGGCTAAGTAGCCTTCCTGAGGTCACAGGAGGTAACCCTTTCACGTTCCCACGTTCCAGACTACACTGAGGCCAATAAGCCGTTTGAATCCGAGGTCAAACCTCAGCTCTGTCACCAACCTAAATTTCATCACTTCTAAAAATCTACACGGATGCACATTTCTAGACACCCTATTTCCTGAATGTTCACCAGTCAGCCGTGTGTGGCTTTGGGGCAAGGGTGAAACATCCTCACCCTAACCTTCCCCACCTCCCAGCCATTTCTGGAACAGCAAGAGTTCACTTGGCTGCCCCAGGGCTAGTCCCCTCCCACCTCAGTCATTCCCTTGCATTCTTGGTGTCCCTGTGTACTTGTCCATCTTCCCCAATAGACTGCAACTCTCCTTTGAAGGCAGAGAAGAAAGGTCATGCAAATTCATGTCCCAACAGCAATTACCAGAGTACTTTTTGCATAGAGCTGGGAGGCGATAAATGTTTATAAAACGAAAATGTCCCAGACCAAGTCCTGCCTGCCTTTACATGGCCCCTCAGAGGTAATCAGTAAATCTTACAGGTCCGATCACCCCAGTATCTCTCAAACACATCCTTTCCTTTCTATTCCCACTGTCCTCGTTTCTTGTCGCCTTCTGACCTGTGTAATAATCTTGTAACCAGTGCTCCTGAACCCGTCCCGTCCTAACCCAGAACATTTTTTTCCTCAACCCCACTAATAACCATCCTGCTATACTGCCCTGTGCAAAAATCTCCAATTTTACCAAAATCAGTTATCGTCCCCTCTCTAAGGATGCAAAACCGCACCCTGGCCCCAGCCAACCGTTTAGCCGGGTTCACTCCATAAATATTTACGGACAACTCCTTTGTCCCAGGCACTCGGCTAGGTAATAATTAAAGAGTGAGGTACAAAACAAATTGTATTTTTGCCCTCGTGGAGCTTACATGCTAATAGAAGAAACAGACATTAAACAAATTAAAACGTAAGTAAATAGATAAACATATAATTATAGTACCTACCCTACAGTAATAATCACTCAGGTACATAAAGAAGCACACAGAAGGATAGTCACTGCAGCACTGTTTACGATAGAGAAAAATTAGAACCTACACGTTCATCGGAAGGAAAATGTCCACATAAACTATGCTATATCCAAATTTAAGAATATAGGCAGCAGGCCGTGAGTCGCTGGCGACGGCGTAGGCTGCAGTCCCCTGCCGCAGTGGGTTGCCATGGGCTACTGTGTGTAGCCAGCAGCCAGCGTGAGCGGCCAGCAGCCGCAGTGAGCGGCCGTCCAGAAGCTGGTGACTGATCTACCTCACCCGGGAAGAGCGCAATGATGGTGCCAACTTGGGCCAGTGAAGCAATGTCCTCCACAACTAGATTGAAGAACAAAAGGACAGCAACTTGTCTGTTCCCCTTCCCCAATCCCCCAGCACTGTTCCCTTCCCCAATAAAAATCTTAAAAAAAATAAATAAAGATACAAACAGACTGAAAGTAGAGCAATGGAAAAAAGATAGTTCATGCAAATAAAAAAAAAAAAAAGAATATAGGCAGCAAGCAGTTGGAAAGAATAATGTCACATATACTCAGTTGGCTAAATCACCAAGACATTGTGAAGTAAAAAAATAAAAGAATCCAGCTGCAGAAACGTATGCCGTTTTGGTTTACACACACACCATGATATGTTTTCTAAAGGAAATTTATGTATATGTGTAAACTATATAGGTATGTAGGTGCACATACATATATTATGCATGTTATATATCCCTGTGTTTGGATAAACACACACATATATCATAATATGTATGCTGATCATTTCACAATATATATACAAATGCTGAATAATTATGCTGTGCACCTGAATATAATGTTCTATGTTGATATTATCTAAATAAATAAAAAAGAAATATATATGCAAATTAATGAAAGTTAGGAAGGCCCATAACCAAAGCGGTTAATTCTCAAATGTGGGCAAGGACCCAGGACAGTTGGATAGTGGCTAAATATTGTTATCTTTTTACAGGTATTAAAATATAGGCATATTTTGCCGGAATAGTTAAAACTGAGTTGCCTATTACCATAGAAGTCCAAACTGTGTTCAATGCCCTGAGGAATATAACACGGGGAATAAAATGTTTAGGATTTCCGTATACTGCTTTTTATAGGCATTTGATAAACCGTGGTCTGCTTACCCATCTCCTTGCTGTGTGCCAGCTGCCTGACCCAGCCTAACTGAATCTCCCCAAAGCATGTGCGGAGTATATGTAAAAATTAATCTGCACCTATCCCACCCATCCCCCAAGGTCCACTCCAGATACCACCACTCTCTCTGTTCAGTCACCCTTTGCTCAGTGCCTCCATTATGACATTTGCTATGTGTTTGTCTTACCACCTGACGAGACAGCAGGCCCCTCAAAAGGGAGGGCCAATTTCCTCCCTGAACATGGTGGGCAGACAGGAAGTGTCCCAGTATTGAGCTGTCCTATTATTTATTTAAGTAAATATGCCCCCTAGATTATTTCATGCACTCATTCATACACTTTCTCACTCAATAAATATTTATTTGAGCACCTACTGTGCACCCACCATGGTTCTAGGTGCTGGGGGTGCAGCAGGAAAGCAAGCTTATTAAATGCCTGTCCTTGTGGAGTTAACATTTAATATCATAGTGTATTAAATGAGAAATGGTACGGGGGAAAAAATAAGAGGGGGCAAAGGGGCCAGGGCGTGGAGGGGACAGGGGGGATGATGTGAAATAGGTTAGTCCAGGAAGGCTTCACAGCGGAGGACAGCTGAGTGAAGATGACGGGGCGACAGTGTGAGCCATGCAGAGTTCTAGGAAAAGAGCAGTCCACGCAACGGGCCTGCCATGCAAAGACCTCGAAGCAATGTGCCCAGGGGCTCAAGAAAACCAGCGTGGCACTGTGGCTGGTTTGGAGAAAGAAGTGGAAACAAGTCAGAAAATGAAGATGGCGGACATTCGCACTGATTGCTTGGGGCCGTTGGGGCATTGTAAAGACTGGATTTTAATTTTACTCTGAATGAACCCGAGAACCCCTGAATGGTCTGAGCAGAGGACCATGGCCTGGCTCAGATATTAAGAGGTCTATTAAACAGACTGATAAAACTAAGAATACTCCTAAAATAATCATGACAATAGTCCCCTTTGCTGAAATCACTCAGATAATTTAAGTGCGTCCATATCTTCAGGTTACTTTTACAACAATAACAATAATAGTAATAGTAAGAAGAGATAAGACGGATAAGAAAAGGGGAAAATACTACAATTTATTGAGCCCCTGCATGTGCCAGAGCCGTAAGTCCACATCCGATTTATCCAATCATGTTGTTCTTTAGTTCTCCTGATAACCTGTATATTTAATTCATTTGGCAGGTGAAACTACAGTCATCTGTGGTTACCTTGCTTTCTGACTTACTAACTTCTCTTACTTGAGGTTCTACAACAAGAATACATACAGTGGAATTCTAGCCCGATTTAATAGCCCAGGCTGACTCATGCCACTCTTCTTTGTACTTAGTGGTTGACCTTGGCCTTAGGAGAATAGAAATAATAGCGATCATTGATTAAGTACTTATTATAGGCCAAGCACATTATGTGTACCATTTCTGGACACCTATGCAGAGTCAGCGCGGGTCACCCAGATTAGAGAGCTGTGCCTCTGAGCAGTGATCCGGCTAGTGACCTCTTGAATCCGTCTTTCTGGGTTCAAACTTAAGATTCCGGGCTACCAGCTGTGCCACCTCTGCCCCCACACTTGAGCTCCTTTTGCCTGTTTCCCCATTTTACAGACGGAGGTAAGAGTACTCACTAAGAAGTGTATTGAGGAGGAATAAATGAGTCCTCACGTATAAAATGCTTCAGGGAGAATTGGGCACATAGTAAGCACTCAATTAAGACACCTATTATTAAAAAGACCATTGCCTAGGGCACCGAAGCTTGCAGGCATGCAAAGCCAGGTCTGTGCTTAACCACAGCAGGGCCCAGTCAGCATCCTTACTCCTGGGCCAGGAAAGAGAAGCGAGTATGTTTATAGCAGACGAGGGAGACTAGTTGGGTTTGGACCCGGATTTCTCTGCGCCAGGACCTGCCAAGAGCAATCAGCCATCAGCGAGACCACTCAAAGTAGACAAAACAAGAAAGGTACCTGGATCTGGGTGGTCCTCAGCAAGCTGGGAGACGTCCTCCCTCTCCGTGTTCCTTGGGCATCTTCTCCAAACGGGAGGCGAAGCGATACCTGAGAGACCAGGAAAGGAGTCAGGGGTGAGTGAGTGGAGTCAGGAAAGGATGTGGAATTAATAAACTACAAGTCTCCAGACCGGAAGGTGTGCCCTCAAACCACGCCCTCAAACGGTACTGGGATTAGGGGGAAATGCTGGAGAGGAGATTAAGATCAGAGCCACACCTTTGATCCAAGTGACCAAAAAAATCGTGAGTCTAGTAGACTTAAGCTCAGGCAGCTGCCCTCAATGGCAGTGGTGTCCTTGATCCAAAGCCACGCTACTTCACCACTTTGAGCTGGTGGAGGTTTGGGTCAGCTCCCAACATGAACACAGGTTTTCTCCGAAACCAGAACTGAATAAAACAACCGCCTTCGGAGCCTGCCTGGATCCAAACCCTGACTCCCTTGCTCAGCTGCTGGGAGACCTGGGCCCAGTGACCTAACCTTTCAGCCTCACCTGTAAAATTGGGAAGACTAATGTTGCCCAGCGCATCGGGCACTTTTGCGCATGAAATGAGCTAATGTCAATGAAACCTAAAAACTACCCGGCCCATGGCAATCATTCAAACTGTGTCAGCCAAAATAACATTAGCCATTATTTTCTCTGGATGTCTCTCTAAATTTCTCTGGGTTATTCTAAAACAGCCCTTCAAATTAACTAAATCCCTTTTATTTCTTTAACAACTTAAAAAATATATATATAGTTAGCCCATTTTGTTGACTTTTTTTTTTTTAACAAACACCAAGGCTGCGTGTCCTCTTAAAATTATTTTATGAGATTATGTTTTGTTCCCATTTGTTTTGAGGGATGACTTCAGCGTCACTGAGTGGGATGAAAACAGTGAAAAGTAAATGAGGATAATAGGACCATCCTTCCTGAACTTTAAAAAAAAAAAAAAAAGAGGAAAGAAAGAAAAAAATAATGAAAGATTCAGATGTTGGTCTTTTAAAGATCATCTTGCTCAGTATTTTCAAGTTCCTCTTTTTTTCTCTCCCCCATAAACACGACAGTAATGAGATAGTTTTCCTTTCTCCCTGCCTCAAAAAAAAAAAAAATCTGTCACATAAATTTCTCCAAATCAATACAATTGAATTTTCTACAAGGATTTGTAACTGATAGGCTATATTCTTTAAAGCAAATAAGCATGCTATATACAGAAATAAACAGTTTCTGAAGCAGTTTTATTTGAAGTCAACAAATAAGAACAACGTGTCCCCAAGGAAACAAAGTAGAATTTGGACTCGAAGCTAAAATGGCTCTGCCTTAATCCTCTGTTACCCAGTACTATGGGGCTGCGTTTACAGGAAACGCCTGCCACCAGAAGTTTTCTGCTAGTTTTCAACCGTATTTTTGTATCATCAACTCAGCCAGATGGAAACAAATAAAATCCCCAGCCTAAAAAAAACAAAACCGTAAAGTAAACGAAGAGAACGCTGACCTGTTCATTTCTACCTTCTTCAGGATGGGAAGAGAGCACGCAGAGCTGCAGGCTCCCCTCCCCCTCCAGGACTGGGCTTCCCGGTGGGTGGGAACTATCTCATTACCACATTTTCAAATAGACCGGTTTCTCTTTTAATCAAAGTTACTTTGTGGTTGTTTGGCAGTCTGCACATGCCATGTTTTTCATAGCTATAGAAAATGTGTATTTATTTATTTTGAGAGGGCTATGACCATATGACAAACATAAGCCAGCCTCAGCCAATGGTTTATAAGAGCTCTGAAAAGCAGTGCCTTTAAACATTTTAATAGAGGCGCTCTCATCCTTTGTAAGTGGAAGTGTAAATTGGTACAGTGCTTTTGTAAACAACTCAGGGACACAAGTCAAGGGCCTTACAATGTTCATACATTTGGGTGCAGCAATACCAGTCCTGGAATGGATCCTAAGGAAATAGCCCCAATCAAGGAAAAGGTGTTATGAACAAAGATATTCATGGCAACAAGTTTACTATAAGGGGAAGAAAAACACACACACACACACCCTCTGTCTCCACATATAGTGGAAACAAACAAATAGAGGAATGATTAATCATCCAAGTTACCCCCCCTCCCAACTCTTGCACACAGCCATTTCAAAATTAGAAAGTTTTGAAAAGCATGCCATTGGGAAATAGTTATAATAGCAAACTGAAAAATCCAGCTGCAAAATCATATTTTTAACAAAAATTCTTTTTATTAGCAACTAGGGAGGCTATAGGTTATACGTAAAATTTTTAAATTGGTTTTCTTATCAGGGACATTTTAGTATGGACAAGACATTAAGTGATACCAAGAATTTATTAATCCATTATCTATAATAATGGCATTATGGGTTATTAGGAAAAAAAACATGTAGACATATTTTTTAGAGACATATACTTAAGCATTTAGGAGGAAAATGATGTGGTGGAATTTATAATACTTTTTAGCAAATTTTAAAAATGGGAGAATTGAAGCAAATGGGTTAACATCTTGAAACTGCAGAACTGGGTGTTGGATGTGAGGGGTTCATTTTACTCTCTATTTTTGTATACATTTCAAAATTTATATATATACACACATACATATATATATATATATAATTTTTTTATTAAACATTTTTAAATGGTTGTTTTTTGATCATGGGATTGGCATGACCTGTTTCTACCTCTTATTCTTCTTGAATTATTTTCTATGATATACTAGTATTACCTTTGACAAAAACACATTAACATTGATTTTACCAAAAAGAGATTAAAAGTAAGAGCTGAGAGTCCCACAGAGCTTTTTTTATTGCTGTGTAATAGCAGTGAATCCTCCGAATGCTGTGATAAGCCTGTGTACCTGCAAATGTGAGCTTGTACACGGTCCAAATCCCGTCCATGGGGGAGCACCGTGCCATCTGAGCCTATGCTGTGAATATAATCAGCAGATAAAAAGGCCAGCTGCAACGAGCCGTTTTAAAGATTAGGGACCATTTAAAAACACACACCACGTCTTGCCTCTTAAACGTTAAGTGGCAAGATACCCTGGTTTTAATTCTGAAGTTTCATGCAATGACCAGGCAAGCAGCCGGAGTCCCACATACCACCCAGCTGATTCAGAAGGAAGGGTTCCACATTCCTTAATTAGCAGCATCAGAAAAGCACCACTTCCTGCAGCTCGGAGTTTCCCATTTCATCCAGCTACTCAGTTGGCCCAACACACCCCACGAAGTCATGGAGAAGATTTCCATCGTTTTGGAAACATCGATAGTGTTGTGTAATTTATTTTATTAATTTACTTTGTTTTTGTTTTATTCTATTTTGTTCTATCATATGCTATTCCACTGTGTTCTAATTTTTGCAGATTGAAGATTTCCAAGGTGACATTACGCATATTCTTCTTTCTCTCTAGACTTCATGGACACCTGGTATCTATGGACATCACAGTCGAGCGCAGAATGAATGAACACTTGACCAACCTGAAAAGACAGTTCTCTTCATGATTAATAGTCAAAAGATTCAGAATAAGGGACCGGGCCAGAAGTTTCTTTTTTAGCACCAATTACTTAAATGAAGCTCCTGACCTGTATTGAAGTTCTCCAGCAGAACTCAAACAGGATGCAAGAGCACAAGGAAAGTTTCCAAGGAAGATTGCAGTTTTCCCATGTGATATGCTGGATCATCTTTGAAAAGACAAGGGCAGTGAACAGTATTGCAACCTTAACTGGAAGGTCAAATTCTCAGGAAACATTCTCCCAGTCGATATTGGATTTAACCCTTATTAACAGTTATTTACTCTGAACTTCAGAGGTTTTAAAGTAATGTAAAATGATGCTAAGCAGACACTTTAAAAAAAACTGGAAAACATCATTTTTGTCCATAGAGGGACCCTACCTCTGTGCTACATCGATGACGCATTATTCCATTTCCCCCTTTTAGTCCTCTCTTCCTTAAACTGTGTCTTTTCAAAGAATTCTCCTCTTTGACCACCAGGTTGATAAATATATATATATATATATATATATATATATATATATATATATATATATATATAAACTTTATTGGGGAACAGCCATGGTCATTGGTTACACATGGCTTTCATACTACAATTGCATAGTTTACTCTTTTAAGGAGGGGGCAGCTCACAGTGGCCCATGTGGGGATCAAACCGGCAACCTTGGTGTTATCAGCACCACACTCTAACCAACTGAGCAAACCGGTCACCCCCACGTTTGTTTTTTAATTACGTACTTGGTCTGTAAATAAGAGGATAGACAAGAAAAGGTCATAGTCTTAAACCCCAAGAGAAAGCAAGTGTTGGCGTTAGTGGCAAACTTGTCTTCTCAGGTGTCTAAGAGGGAGCAAAGAAGGTGTACTTAGGAATTTTATTTCTTCTGATGACACCTTCTGACGTTTGAGAATGTCTGAAGCTGTTCAGTGGAGTAGACCAACTCTTGATGGGGTCTCTTAAGAATGAACACCTTTCCTTCTGATCCCAGGAAATAGTTCCTTCTTAACACCATGTGATAGTTACAATGAAAAATGTATTTTAAAATTCATTTACTTTAAATAACAATTATGTCGAGTCCAGAGCTAACGGACACTGGCTTAAATCAAATAGACCTTGGGCTGCTGGTGTTCTTGGGTCATATAAAAACAACAGCTTGACATTACTCCGACCCAGTTTACCCATTTCCTCCATATAGCACAAGATACCAGGAGGGTGCATGAAAAGTGCCCTCTGACTATGATATTGTCTTTATGGAGAGACATGAAGATGTCATAGTTTGGTTTTGGGGTTTTTTTTCTCGAAAATAATGTTTATTAAAAACAGTACATTGTAAGACATGAACCAGGACCCAAGAATCTGAGTCTTCTCGCACCTTCAAAGAAATCAAGATTGAAATAAAATTGTTGTGATTAATATTTGGGGGATAGTATTCATATCTAAGAGCGTTTTGCTTGTGACAAAAAGATGACATCTGAATTCACTCTAAAGTTTGGTCTCCTTCCATTTCTGCATATTAGAAAGCGTCTGCCCTTCTCTTTACGTTTCCAAGTTATTCACTATTTTATCTTCCTGAGTTTTCAAGTAGGCAGCACAACATTGTAAATCCATCAGAGAAACACTGGAATTTTAACCTGTAATAACTCAAAGCTTCTACTTTGGACACAGGACACCCACCCTCCACAGTACATTCTATTCTATTCTGTTTACATCGCTCCCGTGTGAATGGTGCCCACCTGGAGCCGTTCAATGGACTGAAGTAATCTTAGCAGCCTTGCAATGGCTTGGGCACAACCACTGCTCCTTTGTCAAATAGCTGGGCCTGCTTCTGGTGAACTGCCTGCTAGATAGAGCCACCTAGAAGCCCTCGTGGGCTTGTTATTTCTTCACTTATCAGTGGATCGTAAGTTGGAGTATTTCCTTAGTCATAGAGACTGGCCGTTTATTGGGACGTTCTCAGTAGGAACTACAGTTGAAGATAACAAAATGGTTATTTAAACATGAATGTGAAAGAAAAAAATTATTTTTCTTGTGGGCTTAAGATTATTTTGCTATTTTCTGACTTTTAAACTTTTAACTGTTTTTAAGAGTGGAGATCTGATTTTTTTTTAAATTCTTTCCTATGCCATTTGAATGTTTGAGTCTTTTGAAAACATTTACGTGTTCTGACCAGCCAGCAACCCCTAATATCTTCTATAGTTCCTAAGATTAAGAAACTAGGAGAAAGCTAGGGAGATTTGGCAAGCAACTAGGTAAGAATCTGGCAAGGAAACCTCTTGAGCAAGAGTATATGGGTTTGGGTTTATTGGAACATTTGAAAGCAATTAAAATGGTGTGGTTTTTTTCCTCAAACTTATTTTTGTCCTCTTTACTTTAAGCACACCCAGGCATACAATTGAAAAATAACAATAAAGTATAAATGAATCATGAAGCTGATCAAGCCAAAAAGCTACTACCACGGGATTTATAACATATTGATGGAGTTTCTAATCTGTTCTCAGACTTTTTGTGGGTGTCAAGACAAAGCCTTTAAGAAAAGCTGATCAGACCCTCAATATTCAATTTTAACTTATATTTATTGACCTGATACAGAATTCCTGCATAATGTGAAAAAAAATACCACATTCCAAATTGTGGGGATAGGCATGGAAATGATACTTATATGGTTAAACTATATATAAATGTGTGTTGAACAAATACAAACAGGACAGAATAGAGGCCCAGGAGATGAATCACAATTATTGGTGATAACTCCACAATGAGCTAGAAGAACATTCATTATTAAGCCTATGTACCTCCCATATTTTAAATACAAGTATTCTCACATTTGGCAACATCCTTCAAAAAGACCAGAGGATATACTCTAGTATGCAATGTACCATCCTTAAAAAATACTTTTTTATTTTTATGATTAGAAAGACTTACTATTCCTTATAGAAAGTTTGAAAATTGCAGAAAACACCCATAAACACAACATACAACACTCAGAAACAACCATGGGTTTATGTTAGTATGTTTTCTTGCAGCTTTTGTTTGTTTGTTTGTTTCAGATG